CTTATCTGTGCTTCTGCATAGGAAATAGTGGCAAGGGGCCTTCTTTAATTCATTTCAGGTTGTTTGGTTTTCTTTTAAGAATGCTTTACTCTTGAGATTCTTTTTTCTTTTTTTAAACAAAGGAAGAAAATGATTAAGTGAAAGAACTAAGATATCAGTCAGTGCCTATCCCTGGCATTAGCCCTAATTCCCCTGATTCAATAAACCTCCCTTTTTGTCGGCTCTTGGTGGCTTTGGTCATTCCAATGGGGGTTGACAAGGCCAGAGACCTCTGGAGGCCCTTGAACACTTCACTCAGCCTTGAACCCAATCCTGAGCCTGGGTTGAGGGCTATGGGGGTCAGGCGCTCTGGGACCCAGTTTGAAAACCACCTTCCTGGAGAAATGGGACACCATATGCTGTACTTCATCACTCTCCTCTGGCTTCCTTTGGTAAACTGTTCCACTACCCAGATGAGTGTATTACATTTATACAAGAGGGAGGAAACCTTTTACTGCAGCCACAGAATGCCAGGAAAAGGTAAGATGATGGTGGATGACTTTCCATGGCCTGATTCCAGCTGTCAAGGAATGTTCTGCATTTTTAGGACTTTTGGAGAACCTTGCAAAAAGATCATCTTTCACTGCCCTGGAGTCTATGGAGCACAAAGAAACTAACGTTTGGGTTGCTTTTCCTTGTAAAAGTTATTCTTTAAAAAACAGCTACTTACTTATCTATTTATGTGTACATGTGTGTATATGTATGTATTTGAGTTCTCAAATATGCATGCACGGATGGAGAAACCTGATTTGGCATTTCTGGTAAAGGGATCCATGGGAGAATAATGTATCCCTTCATCCATTTCTACTTTGATGGTTCACCCAGCACTTCTGTGTAGACTCCCTGAGAGGCAGTGTAGTGAGGTGCTCAGACAGACAGGCTTGGGTGTAAATGGCTTTCTGGGAACTTTCTGGGAGGCGAGAAATTCTCTAGATCCTAATGAGAGGTGATTACATAGAAGTAAATGTTTATCATAACTCACTGAACTCTTTACTTATCTGTCCATTTTATAGTATGTCAATTACACCTCAATTTCAAAACGGAAACTCTGTAAGTCTTCAAAGATCATGTCCAAGGTTCCTGCCAGAGGTTAGGAAACCAGTCAGGTGAGATTAGGAGGAAGCCACAAGGAGGCTACAGGTGATAAAGATAGAAATACAAAGAGTGTTGACAAGCATCAACAGAACTTGGTAACTGAATTACAAGGAGGCCAGGCTGGAGGTGGCCCCAGTGGAGAGCCCATTCATTCAAGAGAAGTGAATGAGCTGAGCTGCGGAATCTACTGCTATCAGAACACAGACTGGCAAATGCATGGCCCAGCTACTGAGCCAAACAGGATATCTCCCTCAGAGTTGCCTCTACAATATATACCCCACACCCCACTGACTCACAACCGAACTGTGATCATGCCTGAAAAAGGAAATGACTCACTTCTAGATCCTGGCACACAGGGTGGGCAAAAAGCAACCGGAATTCCAGGACTCTCAGAAAAAAGTAAAAAAGGAAGTTCAGGCAAGGGGCATTCTCAGTGAGGATCCCGGAGGAGGACCTTCTGTCATCCCCTCTCCCAACCAGGTGATTGCAGTTTCGATTACCACTAATCCACTTTGCACAAGGAATCGTCTTACACACAAAATGTGCTCCTGGAAAGGTTAGAACTATTAAAACATCTTAAGGCCCTTTAAAGAACAATAACCCCCTTCCCTGGATAACAAGCCTTCCACTGCCAACAGTTAATCAAATATTTGCTTGTCATAGACGGCTGAAGACCCCACCAAGAGGAAGACCCCACTACTACCTATTTCTATCCGAACAGGTCATCCAAAAGCTGGCCAACAGCTCCAGACAGTGTTTAAATGAAAAGTGAATGGATTTCACCATTACAGGGAGCGGTCAGCTGGGAAATAAATCCCATAGCCTTGCTCATGGGGACGCGGATGAGGAACAGTGAGCACCAAGGGACAGCACATCAGATGGGTGTCTCCACAGCAGGCAACACAGTCCTGAACAATGGGTCAGAACTAGGCCTGTTTCAAACACCACAGCCCAAAGAAACCACACCTCTTTCTTGTTTTCTCCCTGTTCCAGAAGCAAAATTTGGATTTTCTATTTCAGTTTCATTTGAATTTCAGCAAAAGCAAACCAGAGCTCCCAACCCCTTATCTCTGGAGATGCCTAAAATTACACAAGCACTGCACCCTCCCTTAGGAAAAAAAAACAAAAACAAAAAAAACTAAACTCTGGCCCTTAGACCTCTCCTGTCATGAATGACAAGTCAGGAACAACATTATCGAAACAGAAAAGGGGAATACACATTTCTGCTTTTTCTCCAGCACACAAATGAGGTGGTAAATGCTTTCGATGTTTTCCTTCCTGTTACTGAAGACAGTGGTTGTTCAGGGAAATCAAAATAATACATGGAATCATTTTCTTGAAAAAGAAATGGCAGGAGCTAACAGACTCAGAGGAAAATGAATGAGACATCCTTTTACCAGTGCTCTTTTCCAAACGAGGTGTCGCCAAGGTATTTTCCCCAAGGGTGATCTCGATGGTAGATTTTGTTGCCTTTGGGGAGGGGTAGCCTGTTTCTATCACTGTTCACTGCTGGCTACTTCCACAGTGTCTTAGCAACACATGGTCTCTTTCTTGACAGTGGGGCAGAGTATGGATGCTGTTAATGTACTTAATGTGGAATATGACAGGCCATCCAAGCACTGAGCAAAAAAGGCATCTAGAATTGGGTCTTATCAGGGGAGGAACCCTACAGATAAGAGCAGGAATACTGTGGAAAGACAGAATGAGGCACATATTTCTCTTAAAGATTTGCAGTCTCAAAAACACTCTCCCTATCTTTTGCCAGAGTTGCCCTGGAAGAAAAATATGCTTGGCAATGATCAATGAATAACCCTGGGGCCTGCTGCTAAAGCAGACACAACTCTTAGCGGGACCACTCTACTTTCTGAGCTTGGATGTGTCCTTGGCATATTTGAGACTCCACACACAACTGTTAACTGATTTTGATCTGGCTAAGGGAAAGCATGCAGTTAAGATTCCAATTACTTCCATTCCCAAAGGAAACAGACAAGAAATTCCCTCCCCCTCGGGGCAAACTGGAGTAGTCAGGGCTGCTACAAATGTACATGGTTGGGCGTCCCTGGTGGCGCAGTGGTTGAGAGTCCACCTGCCGATGCAGGCGACACGGGTTCGTGCCCCGGTCCGGGAAGATCCCACGTGCCGCGAAGCGGCTGGGCCCGTGAGCCATGGCCGCTGACTGAGCCTGCGCGTCCGGAGCCTGTGCTCCGCAACGGGAGAGGCCCGCGTACCGCAAAACAAACAAACAAAAACAAATGTACATGGTTGTGTTAACACCAGAGAAGATACTTAGTAGCTGCCAGCTCTCAGGAGCCTGGAGAACACACCAGACGATCAGCCTACTTGAGACCCAAAATACACCAGATCCTCCGCCACCCAGTGAAAAGAGGAAACTGAAGCAAGCAACACATCTTGCTCAAGACTTCACTGCCATCATTTCCTCTTAGGAAAGGAGTGGATCACGTGTGAAATATAGGCTAATCAAGTGTCTCTTGACCAAGCCACGCTCCCTTTGCTTCACACAACTGAATGGCCGAATTATTACAGTAATCCTCTGCCACGTGCAACCTCCCCTCCGCTCCTCCCAGAGGAAACTGATGTGTCACAGGTACTGATTCCAAGAGTTTAAAGCCACCTCCCTAACTATAAAAAGAAAAAGCTTCCTGCATCCTGTTAATCAGACAATCCCAATCCTTTTCTAGGCCCAGCTGGTCCTAAGTAGGAAAAGGACCATTTCTCTATTTTCCAGAGCGAGGTCAAATGCCTCTAGGAGCCAGGAGACAACTCAGGATGGTGCATCAACTAGCCTCTTGCCCAAATCTAAATTTCAAACCCTCTAAAACGAAATGCTGTCATGTGGGCAGCTCAGCTGAACCCATTCAGCGCCTCTGAACAAACAAGGCAACCCGAGGGCCATGAGGGTGGCCTGGGGGGCACGTCTGCGAACATGTCCCGGGCGGGGTGGGTGAGGGCGGCCCCCGAGGACAAAGTGGGGACGAAGGCCTCGCCACAGATAGAGGGGAAAACTGAGGCCTTCGCCGAGGGGGCCGAGGCGTTCGGCGGGCGCCTCGGCCACGCTAGCAGAGCTTCTCCAGGGGCCCGGGACGTGACGCCTCCTTTGTGACAGGAGCTGGGACCAACCTGAGGAATCTCCTTGGACGTCCTCACCGAGAACGAGATGCGCCGCTAGCCTTGAGCCAGCCCCGCCCGGCGCCGCGCGCGCCTCCGCAGCCACCGCTTCCCATTGGCCAAGGGGAGTGGCTCGAGGCTCGCCTGTTCCAACGGCGCCCTATGGGAGCTCGGGGGCGGGGCTGAAGGCGGTGGCCTTGGGAGGAAGTGTGGTGCGGGGTCCGCGCTGGACGCGTTCCTCTCAGTTCCGGGAGCCAGCAGTGCCCTTGAGCAGCAGAAAGCCAACTTGCCCGCCGCCGTAACCTCTGAGGGTGAACCGGCGCAGGGGCGCGCCCGCAGACTACCCTGGGCGTGCAGCCAGGGACTGGGCTGAGCGGCCGGGTTTCGGGTCACTCTCACCCCTAGAATAACTCTGGGAGGGGGTCCCTCCCCCCATTGGTGGAGACCCGCGTACCCGGCTCTAAGACAAGAGGGTCTGCAATCGGGTGGAGACTTGTGGGGAAAGCCGCATCCCGCATTCCCCTGACTCCCCAGACCCCTCAGACCCTCCCAACCCTCGCGCTCCCCTTAGTGCTCCCTGCAGCCATTTGGGAAGGATTTCGTGCCATTTTCCCACAAGTCTCCCAAGGGTGGAATGATTTTTCGTTCTCTTCCCCCGCAAAAAAAAAAAAAATACCAAGGGGCTCTCCTAGTTCGCAGGCTCACCCCCACCCCGCGCGGGCTTCTGGAGCCAGCCTTACCTGCACCCGCAGTCGCAGCGATGAGCAGGGCGACGGCCCAGCGCAGCCCGCAGCCCGCAAGCCTCATGTTCCCAGCCTCTGCCTGTCACGCCCCACAGCCTACAGCCGGGCTGGTGTCCGCTGTGTCCGCTCTGGAAACCCGGGCTTCGCGCGGCCCTGACGCGACTGCACGCGGGGCCCCAGTCATTTGCAGCATTTCAACGTGAGGTTTCCCGTAGAGGGAGGAGTTTGCAGTGGGGTGATTTTCAAACATCTTCACCTCACTGCGAGAGGAGGAGTTTCGAGAGGAGGAGTTTGGAACGGCCGATGTGACATGGAATCCTTAACCCGTGAAGCCCTGACTCGGATTCCAGTCCTTTCCAGAGCCGCTTCGGGACAGGCTGCCGGATGTGTCCCACTTGGGTAGACCCTGAAGAGAGGAGCCGCCGCCACGCGCACCCCCAAATGGAAATGCGCGTCTCCTGAAAGATCTCCCTTACATTTCACTCCACTTTTAATTGTTACGTTCTCTTTGGTGCCCAAAGAAGATTAGCAACCACCTGTCCTTCCAAATCGTCTAATTGGCCAATGACATCTCCCCTCTGACTCAAAAGGAAAAAAACTAGAGATGCTGGAAACTACACCCCCCTACCTCTGTCTCTCCTTGCCTTTTCCTTTGTAGGAATTGTTTATAGATTTTAACTGTTTCGTCATATATAGACTTAGAGGGTTCTTCCAAATCACCCCATAAACAGTTATTAATGAGGCATTTAAATAAAATCGTCACGAAAGTACAGTCAAAGACTGATTTTGTTTTGTGGAATCCAGCACTTGGATGAATTATGAGCAAAAACATCTCTAAAATCAATTGACCCAATACCTGGGGTCTGGACATAAATATTGATTTATCCTTTAAGGAGAAGGAGTTGAATCAACAGAGAGGCCCAAAGCAAGATGAAAACAAAATAGAGCTTTCAGAACTGAGCCCGATTGCCTAAACCACAGAAGACTGCTGGAGAACAGCTTTCAAGAATCAGGGTGTCTCTTTGGAGATTCATGAACTTCCCAGAGGCCCCTGGCCAGAAAGCCTCCCGTAAAGGGTTTGGTAGTTTTGGAGGGTTCCCTCAGGAATGAGCAGAGTTCTCTGAGGTTTTACAAACTGAGCTTGGCAAGGCATACTTACCTCTCAGCAGGCTTACAGGAAACCCAGGAAAGAAGGCAGAAAAGAGACAGAGAGGAGACAGAAAGAAAAACAGTGATTTAATCCAGGGGAAGAAACTTATAGACAGTGTTTGGCAGTAAAGAGCCCCAGCTTCTGAATCAGACAGACCTTGGTGAGGTCACTCAGTTTTGTTTTGTTTTTTAACAATTATTTATTTATTTAGTCTGTGAAGGGTCTTAGTTGTGTCACGCTGGATCTTCATTGGGGCATGTGGAGATCTTTAGTTGGGGCATGCATGCGGAATCTAGTTTCCTGACCAGGGATCAAAACTGGGCCCCCTGCATTGGGAGCGTGGAGTCTTACCCACTGGACCACCAAGGAAGTCCCGAGTCATTTAGCTTTGCCAATTAAAAAATGGGAGACAGGGACTTCCCTGGTGGCTCAGTGGTTGAGTCCACCTGCCAATGAGGGGACATGGGTTTGATCCCTAGTCAGGGAAGATCCCACATGCTGCAGAGCAGTTAAGCACTGCTGAGCCGGCGTGCCACAACTACTGAAGCCTGCGCTCCTAGAGCCCGCTCTCTGAAACAAGAGAAGCCACCGCAGTGAGAAGCCCACGCACTGCAAGGAAGAGTAGCCCCCGCTCGCCGCAACTAGAGAAAGCCCACACAGCAAGAAGACCCAACACAGACAAAAATAAATAAATTTTTTTAAAAATAAATAAAAATTAAAAATGGGAGATAAAATAAATATGGGAGAGAAAGTAATGCCACTTCCCTTACTTGGCAGGTTCAGTATCAGGGTCAGAATGAGATCATGAGCAAACACCTGGAGACATTTACAAGGACAGGCAAGTTCTGGGAGTTGCAACATTTATGAATGTGTCACCATCCAACTCCAATTCCTTACACCATATGCTCCTTTTTAATTAATTAATTTATTTTTTAAAGTCAGGAGCCCTAGGTGTGATTTCCCTTCAGAAAAATTGCAAGACCTCACTGGCTCAGTTTCTGTTGTGAGCCCGTGCTCACAGAAAGAGAAAGCCCGCGCGAAGCAATGAAAACCCAACACAGCCATAAATAAATAAATAAATAAAATTTTTAAAATGTCTAAATAAATAAATAAACGTGATTGGAGCCATGCTTGCTTGACATAATAGACACAGTGTATGGCTTCCCTGTTTTGTTTTGCTTTGTTTTGTTTGGCTGTCTTTGCAACTACATCTCTTCCCCCCCTACCCTACCTAGTAAATCTCATCTCGCCCTTCCCCGCCCCCTCTCTTTTCTTTAGGGAACACTTTTATTGACTTGAAAAAAAATGCACAACGTGAGAACTGCAAGTTAAGTTTTATTTGGGGCAAAAGGAGGACTGCAGCCCGGGAGACAGCGTTTCAGATAGCTCTGAGAAACTGCTCTGAGGAGGTGAGGGGGGAGCCAGGTTATATAGAAGTTTTGTAACAAAGGGCAGGTAGTCTGAACATAAAAAGATTATTGTTAATTAAAGAAAACCAGATATCTCAAGTTAAGGAATTTAGCGCTTTTCTCTGTATGGGAAGATGTAAAAGTCCGGGCTCACTGAACTCATTCCTTTGATATGCACCTCAGCTATCTGGGGCCAGTATCCTGTATTTTCACAGCCTGAATTTCCTCAGGGCTCACCATTTCCCGAGTGGTTTGCAGTCTGCTGGCTGCTAGATGGCAGGTATTCTTTTCAGCCCTGAGTTTCCTCAGGGCTCACCAGGTCACACTGGAGGGCTGCAATCATTGATGACTGTGACACCCTTTGTCTATTGATATGGCAGGAAATATTCCGTTTACAAATATTCCATTCCATTTATAAATATTCCATTTATCACTTTCTTTCTCATAGGAACTTGAAAACAATCCTTCCATGGAATCCACTTCATCTGAAAATTCCTAGACTTGCAAAGTCATCCAAATCCAGGGCAGGCATTTTCCTCATTCTAATTAACGGACAGCCTTCTTTGTCTTATTTTACACCTCTCTAATTCACCAGGAGACTCAGACCAGAATAGGTCTCTGAACAAAGGAGTCTGGTCTTTTCACCAAGGTGAGCCTTCATAGCTGTCGTCTGGCCTTTGACCCAGCAGTCAGCAGACAGAGGGTGAGTAACTGCAGGTGCCTTGGTGCCTTCCAGTAGGTACAATTAGAGACTTGCCTTGACTCGGTAGCCATCAATTCTCTCCACAAAAACGCCTGTAAGCCATGTTAGGGCAGAGACAAGGGTTTATATATCCAGCGCCCTGTGGTAGTAAGGGTTAAATAAATAAATGAAAATTAGAGTTGTTGTTTTTTTTTTTTTTGCCACACTACGTGGCTTGTGGGATCTTAGTTCCCTGACCAGGGATTGAACCTGCCAGTCCCGCAATGGAAGCGCAGAGTCTTAACCACTGGACTGCCAGGGAAGTCCAAGAGATATTATTGCTGGCGTGGCTGCAACAACATTAGAGACGCCCTGCTTCTGAATTCCACTATTGTTGGGATTTTGATAATTCAGAACTCAAATTTGTTCTGGGCTGTCGGTCCTTCCTTTCAAGCAGAACACCAGACTTGAAGGCAAACCTGTATTGAGAACATGGAGAAAGCCCCAAGTCTGTAGTTGGGGAGATTCAAAATTGAGGAAGACACCACCTCATCCTCAAGGACTCCGGGAGAGAGAACACGGCAGGATGTGTATATAAACATGAGCCCATGCGGTGCCAGATGGAGAGTGCAGAGGCTACTTCTGGTATGAGATGTGGAAGGCTACTAGAGAAAAAAGTATATTTTCATTTAGCTTGAATTGGTGAAACATTTCTCTGGTTAGGAAAATGTAAAAAGACTTTTTCCTAAGATCAGGAACAAGAAAATGATGCTTGCTTTCAACCCTTTTATTCAGCATAGTATTGGAAGTTCTAGCTAGTGTAATTAGGCAATTAAAAGAAAATAAAAGGCATCCAAATAAGAAAGGAAGAAGTAGGGCTTCCCTGGTGGTGCAGTGGTTGAGAATCTGCCTGCTAATGCAGGGGACACGGGTTCGAGCCCTGGTCTGGGAGGATCCCACATGCCACGGAGCAACTGGGCCCGTGAGCCACAACTACTGAGCCTGCGCATCTGGAGCCTGTTCTCCGCAACAAGGGAGGCCGCGATAGTGAGAGGCCCGCGCGCCGCCATGAAGAGTGGCCCCCACTTGCCACAACTAGAGAAAGCCCTCGCACAGAAATGGAGACCCAACACAGAAAATTAATTAATTAATTAACTCCTACCCCCAACATCTAAAAAAGAGGAAAGGAAGACGTAGAGAAATAGTAAAAGTTCTATTTTTTATAAATTTATTTATTTTATTTATTTATTTTTGGCCGCGTTGGATCTTCGTTGCTGCGCGCGGGCTTCTCATCGTGGTGGCTTCTCTTGTTGCGGAGCACGGGCTCTAGGTGCACAGGCTTCAGTAGTTGTGGCTCACAGGCTCTAGAGTGCAGGCTCAGTAGTTGTGGCGCACAGGCTTAGTTGCTCTGCAGCGTGTGGGGCCTTCCCGGACCAGGGCTCAAACCCGTGTCCCCTGCATTGGCAGGCAGATTCTTAACCACTGCACCACCAGGGAAGCCCTGGCCAAATTATTTTTGACAAGGGTGCCAAGACCGTTCAGTGGAGAAAGGACAGTCTTTTCAACAAACGGTGTTGGAAAAACTGTATATCCACATGCAAAATAATGATGCTTACTATTTTGCATACTAACTTTCACCATATACAAAAATTAACTCAAACTGGATCAAAGACTTAAAAGTAAGAGCTAAAATTATAAAACTTTTAGAAGAAAACATTGGGGTAAAACTTCATGACATTGAATTTGCCAGTGAGTTCTTGGCTGTGACAATAAAAGCATACAGAATAAAGGAAAAAACAAATAAGGTGGACTTCATCAAAATT